TACGTATAAACCTTTTTATATGTGGAGGATGAGAAAAATAATATGAGATAAACGCGCATGCGTGTTTCAGAGGGGGATACAGATTTCCAGGAGATACCGAGTTGGATGAGACGCCGCGCTTCAGGGGAATGAAATCACCTTCTTAAAGCTAAATGATAAAGAAGTTTCGAACTTGACTTAACAGACAGGACATTTGTACAGTATGGAGCAAAAAAGGTAGAAGAAACAGAAAGTCAACTTTTTTGATTTTATAAAGTCGATTTCATACCTTTCCGCTTTGAGTCCTTTTCACCTTGGGAACCAAGGGAGATTTTAAAACTCTTTAAACTGTCTTTCTTACAGCAAAAAACAAGATTGTCCTGGATAAATTATCTGTTAGTTACTTAATTATTTAAGAAACCGAATGTCAAGCCGGATAGAAAACCAGCAGACGAGGTTACCGACAAAAGAAAGGATTGTATTGGTTCTCAGTACAGTTACAGGTACTGAGCTCTAACCCTGTTTCATATTAGCCCAACTTTACTCTAAGATCGTTGGCAAAAACCGTAATCAGCTCATTGATTAGGTTATTTTTAGCGTTTAAGTACTAAACATCTATGCTCGCTTCATACATGAAAGAAGAACATAAACAGAAATCGATCCTTACAGACATCTAAAAATGGAACAGTGTTACAAAGCGTTTTGGCCTATGACTATACGAGTAAACACATTTAAAGGTAAATCATATGTATTGTGCTGCTGCTATTGCATCTAAAATAATAATTAAAAAACGTTTTCCCAAATATTGGTCTCCCTTTGCTCAAAAGCTTAGTCATATACAGGTACAGTATATTTAAAAAGTGGGCACGTCTTGTAGTTTTTCAAAATCGTCTCCTGCGTGACTACTTTTCACCACTAGAGGTCCATCTATTTCCATGTGTGGAACCTGAGGAAATGGACCGGGCGTGGCAGAAGTTGTAAATGAGCACATCAAAGAAGAGCAGTCTGCACGTGAGTTATTGATCGGCTGTCTTTCCGCAGCCGATTCCGCGAGCTTGCTTTGCGGGTCTTTCTGATCGTTTTAAAGGTTCATCTTTCAGAAACCGTCAAACGGCTTGGGGTAGCTTCAAAGTTTATATTGGTAATTGAATTTCTGGGCTATACTCGATCTGTGCTTTCATTTGTCAATGTATCTGTTCTCAATATTGTGTTTAGGAGGAACATATTATTCCACCTCAGTGTCTGGCCTCCCTTTCTATACAATTACCTGTATGGTGTCTATACACACTGTACACTTTCAACAGTGGGCAGATCTGTTACAACACTCACTGTTTTTGTAGTTTTTATTAGCTTTGCCACCAGTTTGTTAAAGAAAACCCCAGGAGAAATATCATAAAAGGAAAACATCGAATGGGCGTTTTATGGTTTATCATAACATAAAACACGTATAAACAATAAGAAAATACAAGAAATAAAATAACACTGAGCCAAGAATCCTCAAATGAAGGCTATCTAACATCTAACAAATAATATAGGGCCAACGCGGGGTGAAGACGGAAAGAACAGTTTTGGATTTCATAAGAGATGCCAGACTTCGTTTTTCATTTAGCAAGATGCATTTAGGGAAAACAACCTTGAATTATAGAAATAATCTTTTTTTTTTTCCCCTTCTTGCCGGGCTCAATAAAAGACAATCTTTACAATAGTATACTAATGAATTTGCACCCTACGGTATAATGGGCGCTCAAATGACTTTGTGTTAATCCTTATTTGCACACAACAAGGCTCGGCGATATCAAAGCGAATGGAGCCTTTAGCTGCTTAAAAGGTCACCCGAGGGTCTCACGAGAAAGGAGCCCGGGTAACAGTGAGTTAAAGAAGCGCGGTAAGACTTCAGGTGGGACTGAACCTTGAAACACGACCGATCTCACCTTTTTAACACATAGAAGGTTTTATAATAACTTTGTAAATATTTTTAAAAAAAACTCATAATAATACCCATCCCCTCCTTTGCTATTTATAGAAGTCTTTCGACGCTACAATCGTCTATCTGATAAACAGAAAACAGGCTCACAATTCGCCGGCCGACACACATTGAGTCCATTACTAGTCTATTGATATGATTATCTAACTGGATCAGCGCCAAAAACAAACAGCTGGCTCTGTTTGATTTTGACATTGCTTTTTCAGTTTGTTCACATTTAGGGTCTATTTTTGTTTTCATTCGCGCGTTGCCATCACCGTACATATTCAATTAAAACATATCCTAGACACGTACGTTATTTCCCCTTAGAAGCATACTTTCCACAAAGTAGCGTTCATGTAGTTCTCAGGTCTAAATCAATTGCCCTAACGAATTAATAACCCTTAATTAATCACGTTTGTTTAAAATAATCTCAAGAGCTTTTTAGTCATAAAATGTTAAAGATTCATCGACGTGTTTCGCACTTCACAAAAACTTCCTTTCTTTCTTATTCTCTCTGACTGATTCTCCAAAGACTAGTGGACGTGAGTAACTTAATGCTACCTTCAGCAAGACGAGAAATGTGTACCTTGTATTTAAATACGAGTCTGTTCTTTCAGTCATCGCCTTTCCCAGCTGCTTTAATAGTCGATCTTAGCTAACCGATAGTTAATTGTGTAATTGTTTCAATTACAGAAAAAATATATCCATCGAGATAGAAGCAAAATATTGCTGGAAGAAATACAAGAATTATGCTATTTATATACGAATTAATTACAAGCATACAGTTAATCACGGTTAAACAAAAAATATTTTTCTCATTATGAGACCCATATATAAAATGTGATTTATTCGGAGAAACCACAATTATTTTTTGATAGAATATTTAATTGAATGGAAGAAAAGCCGCTGATATATTACTTACTGGAAAGAAAGAGAAAAGCAAAACGCAGGAGAATGTTACTTTAGCTATAGACTAAAACACCTTACTGCTTAAATCAATTTTATATTTTCTGACCCCATATAGCTTAGTGAGATATTTCGCTGTGGTTTACGACGTTTTGTCCGATATGACATAACTCTTTACGTCTTGCTGTCTGTAATTATTGGTACAGCACTGAAAATATGTTAGTTATTTTCCATGAAAAGAAGAATTCCTAATATATTCCTACAATATATTGTTTTTTATTGTTTTTTTCAATGAGACAAAGATTCAGGCCACAAAAAGCAATCTCTCTAAAAGAAAGCCAGCCAAAAAGGTATCGACATGAACTCTTCTCGATCAGCTTAAAAGAGATAAGCCACCCCATGGATGACTGAGCGTCATGGGAGAGATTTGACAGCTTAAAGTCATACTGCTGCGCTACTCTCACCATATTTTCTACTTGCTCCATTTATTATTCCCCTTTGAAGGTTTTCCCTGCCTTGATCGATCCATTTGGACTTTTAAGTCGTTTGGAGACTAAAATGAAAAGTACAGGTCTGTTAGTTCTTTAGGTGTCGGATGTTCAAAAGTTTCTTATAATCTGTTGTTTATGTCAATGGTGAGGGAAGACCCAGAAATATAGGCTTTATAGTGGCTCAACACTGCCTCAACTGCCTCATCCTTTTCGATGTTGAGCCTGGTGAGGGAGTTACACCCAAACACCTCGATATCCAAACAAACAGCGATGAGCTGTTTTGCATTCAAGATTTTTGTTGACGGTCAACTATCAGTTGTAAAGTCGATCCTATTCCCTCTATCCTGAAAACTACAACCGCTGATCCAAAATGACATTGGTGCATCTAAATCAAAAATCGTTTGTGTATTCTCTCATCGATATCTGCTAGAACCATACACAACCCTTTGGGACTTTGTGTATTGAGTAAGCGAACTTTTAAACCAGGGCTCGGGGAGACCAGTTATCCTGTTTTGATTTCTTAGTAGTTTACTTTGGCTGTTAGGGGCTGCCATGCGGAGAGGCTCTTCTCGGGGTTTGGTGTTTTTTGCCTCCAAGGAGCCCAGGGTGCCCTTCTGATCAATTCAATCTCTCTTTGGTAGTTTAGCCCTGATTGGCTGGAAGACTTAGAAGGAGAAAATCTTTAATTAAGCAGATAATCTCTTGTTGGGATAAGAGGAGCTCCATTTCATAACCCCCCTCGGCTCTCACATAAACCCTTCAACCTCCTAAGTAGTGAATGTAGGTAGACATCCCCTCAGCGAGACAGCCACCGGGTTTCCACATAGACTCCTGGGATACTCTCTCTTCAGGATGTTTCTACATTTGGATTTGTATTATTACATTTTTATTTTGATGGCCCACATGAAGACATGTTGCAGTTGGTAAGAATGTTTTGTTTTCTCACCCTTTTGGGGATTTTGGATTCAGACATAATGGAAATGAAATGAACACACCCAAATGTTCAAATTGGCTTTAAACAGTACTGCGCATCAAAATATCGAATTGATTTTAATACTTTATATAGAGGTTCCCTTCTTTAACTCCCCCTCCAATTGCGTTTGCACATAAAGGTTCATATATATAATATTTTCACCTGAAGGACATGCCACAGACGTGTTAAATGTAAGATACTTATTAATGCTGCGTTAAACGACTGTACAGTAAGTAGCCTGCTTCAGAAACAACTGGGTAGAAGAACGATGGATAAGAAAAACGAGTCACAATATTTCATTTTCCTGAAAGTCTTCTTCACGCCAGTAACTTCGCCTTTCACTTTGGTTGATTCGTTTTTTGATTTATTTAATCATGAGAGGCCCACGCACAGATGATATTCTTTCTTAGTTGAATCAAACCCTGTTAGACTTTCAAAATAATTTTACTTACATCAACACCTCTCAGTTTAACGATTAAGGAGAAACTCGATTTGTGAGCGAGATTCGGAAACACGAACCATTCCTTTAAGCTGTGATTCGGATTGCTTTTAATCTTATTAAATAATTTCCGTTTTTTGGACCCTCAGAAAGCTGTTATTTGGGTTTCATTGCTAAAACGAAAAGAGAAAAACATTTTTAAAACAGGGGATCAGTAAACGTATTTATAATTGTGGAATGAAAAATAACCTTCAGTCCACCAGTAATAGAGTTACATAAATTTCTTATATATAATATAGAAAAATATATATACTTTTATATAAAGCTTATAAATACGAAATTTTACATTTCGATGAGAACATCTTAGGAGTCACATGCTGCTAAAATATAAAATGGTAACTTTTGGTTATCTGGTATTGTTTTGCTTTCACATCCCAGATGGTGCTACTAGAATAATTATATTAAAACAGTGTAGTCAACGAAGCTGTGAAATTCAAACCTATACCTTATACCTATTTAAATTAAATATAATGAGAGGCATCAAAAACGCAACAAGTGTTAGGACCGGCAGCGCTTGACTCGCTGTCTGGCTGATGACGGTTTAGCCTGGAGTTTATTTATGGGATGCTCTTCCATTGAAGTACAAATCTAGGAGGAAATTTCCAAAGGTAATGGAAATCTGTAACTTCCGCGATTCTGATAGATGTATTCGATAGAGATTGTCATCTTTGCTTAGCCTATTTTTTAAAAACACTGACTTTTTCAAATTGTTCAAAAAATCCCCGAAATCAGAAAATGTTAAAATGTAGTTATGCTACTTTCCTTGCAAAGAATATTTGCACGGCAAGTAGCACATAGTGGTTACATTTTGGAATTTTCTACTTTCATGCCCTCCACGAAATATGCCTTTTAACCTAAATTAACTCATGAGTGAATATGTATTACATTGTGTTAGCTTTTATAAAGTTGACAAAATCTAATGTTCTTAAATTCCAGTGCTCGTATTAAATAACAGTGAGACCACAGAACACCAACTACATAGAAGCAACATCAGACTTAGTGCTTTCCGTTTTTGTCTGTTTTATATTGGCTGTTGCACATACCACTACAAAAATCTGTTCACGCAAAAAATAAATACATTTCAAATAGATCAATTATTATTCCTTGAAACTCCAAATGCATTTCGATTTTAATATTTTTATTGAAAATTGTGTAGGTAAGAATCCATTCATATCTTCACATTTTTTTTTTGTCCTAAGAATCTCACAGATAACAGAATTATCCAGAGTTTTTCAAGTGCAGATATACTGGGGTTACATTGACAAAAAAAAGAGTAAAGGTGAAATTGCACAGGACTGGTGAAGGGCAAATTTAGCTTCTGCAAAATAATCAGTTGTTCCTTGTCTTCCAGGTCAGTGAATAATTTTCTGATGACGGGCCCAAAGGTGAGCCATTATTCTTTTGATCTTTTGTTTTCTAATTAATCAAAAAACAGAAGATAGTTCACAGAGAATGGAAAACGTTAATGTCTGCATATTCTATACTCTTTCTAAAGGGAACAGTAATGTTTAAGGTGGTCCATCTCGATTTTAAGACCTTAAGATATACTCCTATTCTGGGCTGTACTGAAGAAGAGACTGATGGGATGGTTTGGCATTATTTTAATCCTGGTCTTTGTTCCAGATTGTTAAACGTAATGCCAAGTGACTTCTTCTTGGGAACTTAACATACATCACTTGAAGAACCTACATCTACTTGGGATTAGTGATCGTTTTGAAGTGACGCCTTTAATTGCATGCTTGGTTAGAGCTCTCCCAGCAATGTAAAACAGTGAGGGCTTTACACATTTTCCAGTTGAAAAGCGAAATTTCTAGTGCCTAGGAAAATCTTTCTAATTGTACACATCCAAGATAGGAATGGACATGGTGGTTTTGGTGGGTGGTCATCATTAGCACGCGGATTCCTGTGAGAGGAGGAGCTGCTCTGTCTCGCTGGGGCTACTTGAGACTTATTAGCACGTATCGCTTGCTCTCTCATTGTCAAAGGCGAGGTTCAACCGGCAAGGGAGAGCCAAGTCAAAAAGCAACAGGTTTAATCAGTAACACAGCACCAGCTACTGCCTATAGCACCAGTTACTTAATATAATTCAACTGGCAAAATTTAACCAAGCTCTCAATGGAGATACTGACGACTTACAGGCTTATCTTTTTTGTTCCTGAGTCATTCAACACAAAACACATGGTTATTTTAGGTGGCTCGCTCATTGTTTGCACTTACTGTTCACAGCTTTATTAGCCTTTCTTTTTCTCATGTACTTTTGTTTCCAAAATTACATTTTGCTTACCCATCAGTACCCCGGAGAGTCCAGTGCTTTCTGGGTTTTGTTCCACCCACATTCTGAGTTACATAGTTGTTATTAATGAGTGCTTAATTAGTTATATCATTGAAATACTTATAATTAGGCTCTGAGGTGATATATAGGTAACTGTCTTATTGAATTAGGGTGTCTTACTGAATTAGGGTGGCACAGTGGCACCATGCAACACAGGGGTCTTCCTGAGATCAGTGCTATCTCTGTGGATTCAGTATGTCCTTCAAGTGTTTATGTGGACATCCTCCTGGTGCTCTGGTTTCTTCCCACAATCCAAAAACATATTGGTGGCTCAATTGAACTCTGGGAAAATTGGCCCTGGTGTTTGTGTATGCCAACATGTGTCTGGGTCTCTGTGTGCGCTGCGATGGACTGGCATCCCGTCCAGGATGTAGCCTGGCTTGTGCCTGTTGCTTGCCGGGTTAGGCTCTAGGTGCCCTGTGAGCCAGTGTTGGAATTCAGTTCAGTTTAGAGCAGAAGTCTCAAATTCTACTTAAGACATATATAGGATTTTTTAAGGTCTTTTATAGTTGATTATACTAGAGCCTGTTAGAAAATAATGGATAGATGTACTGAAATAATGAAGCAAATGCCTTGTATAATCAACTATAAAAGGCCTTAAAAAATCCTATATATGTCTTAATTAGAAAATAATTAGGTTCATTACTTAATTGAAACATAAAGGTTGCAAAAAAAAGATGCTAGGCCCTCCAGGAACTGAGTTTGAGACTTCTGCTCTAAACTGAACATAGCTAAACATAGCTAAAAGCCTGGAATTAATAATACAGTCAAAGGGTATTCAGAAAAAGATTATTTTATTTTTTTTAAATAAAAAGTTACTTATAATTTACAAATCCTGCAGTTAGGGGTAAAATGCTGGCCTCAGATACCTGAGAAATTATTTTGTAGAGGCACACCTAATATTCTACAACTGAAGAACTGAATTCACATGGATTTAAAGTGATTTCATTATTAATGCTAATGTGAAATATCGGTTCCAACATCAAGGAAGCTTCTGGGAACGGGTCTTTGTCCGTGCATGTATCATTGACCTGGACTGGCCTCTTCCTCTTTGCGTTTTGTCTGTTCTCGCTGTTCAAGATGGGCTTAGTTCAAAGCTGAATCACTGCCACACTGCCAGAGCAGGAAGGACTTTGTGATTCACAAAGTCTGGCATGCATGCTGGTCTTCTTGTGAAGAAACTTGATCAGGTCTGTGCCCTGTGACTCAGGTGTTGGAAGCACAGAGGCTGTGACTGTGGAAGTGGCTCGTTGTCTGATAGAAAGTGGGATTGACTCCACCTGCTGCTCCCTCTCAATCTCCCCTCAAGCACCTGCAACAACTGTGACCACCAATTCACTTCCTCCAACCGGCTTCGTTCAGTTTTTAGGATGTATGGATCACAGCAGAATCTCAAGGTTAACGTCTGTGTTTCTTTCGGCTTCCAGGCTTATCTGATCTACTCGAGCAGCGTGGCAGCCGGAGCTCAGAGTGGCATCGAGGAGTGCAAGTATCAGTTTGCCTGGGACCGCTGGAACTGTCCGGAGAGGGCCTTGCAGCTGTCCACACACAGTGGCCTCAGGAGTGGTAAGAGGAGAGAGGGCTGTGCTGGGAAAAAGATCACATGTGTTCAAAACACCAAGGATAATTAGTTCAGGCTTACAAATGACATATCTTGCTGAGTTTTGCATGGTGAGCACCTAAACATCAACAGGCAACTCATTTATACGATTACATTGAGATTTTTGTTCAATCCAAATTTTTAAGTACAGTTTCTATTGACTTCTGCTTCTCTTGAGACCTGGAAGGCTTCTTAGGCTACGATATAACTGTACTAGAGCAACGCACCAGCCAGACACACATCAGCATTAAACTGCTCACATTCACAGTCTGCTGTGTTTGACAAGCACAACAAGCTGAAAGTGTATTTACAGCCTACACATGGTCCTTTTCAGAGTAGGTACTGTACACACATTTATCTTGTTCAGTTAAGATACTCTATTTCTGTTTAAGAAAAGAAAGGAAAGGACAGGTCGTCCTCAGACTGATTTTATTATTTTGAACTTTTATTCGTCCTGAAAGAATGAACCATTACTGGATGTTTTCTCAAATTAAGGGTATCTATTGCTTATGTGAGTATGCAGAGCACTGGAATAAACATTTGTTTGATTTCCTGTGCAAATGTCTGAAATTCTGACCAGGTAATACAATATAGAGACACAAAGAAGCACTATGCTTTGTATCTGTTGAATGTAGTGAGCCCAAAACCACTATGAATGATTTGGACATTCTGACCCTTGCTTGCTTGTATTCATGAGTATCCACATATTGTAAAGAATGAACTGATCTAACAGGGATAAGAGTCGGTAACTCATCCCTTTTCTTGTCTTGAAAAAAGATTTATGTAAAGGGGAAAATATGCCATTTTTTCACTTTATTACCATCACCCACGACTGTCAAATCAGTCAATAAAATGTAAGATAACCTTGAAGCCAGAAGCAGCTTAAGGCGGATATTCACTCTGTGAATGGTCACGTTTGAAAAAGTAAAAGACTTTTTTAAGGTTAAACTATGAAAGTGCTCTATTGTCGGATTCTCTGTTAACTGCACTGCAGCTCATTGTCCTGGTCCGGCTTGCCCCTACTTACACATTGACTTTGCTCCCAGCCAACAGAGAAACAGCTTTTGTCCACGCAATCAGCTCTGCTGGAGTCATGTACACCTTGACCAGGAACTGCAGTTTAGGAGACTTCGACAACTGTGGGTGTGATGACACGAGGAATGGCCAGCTTGGTGAGAGACACGCCTGTCCTGTCAATGATTAAGAACACCGTGCCACGATATTAATAAATCATCAGCTTAAAGCAAAAACTACAAATGTGACAAGGGGCATGTGAAGAGTCTTGAATCTTGGCAACCGATATCCTTGTAAACTTCTCAAAGGATGTGTTCGCTGAAATCTGTAGTGTAGGCAAGTCCTGACAGCCGACAACTTGGGGAAGACAGACACTGACACGTGTGCTTTTCAAGTGAAATGAGCATAAGTATAGATGGAATGAATAAGAGATAGCGATGTAAAGGCCACACATAAAAGGTTGCAGCAGTACAGCACAGATCAGCGTAGTAAAAAGCACAGTGACATGGTGAAATCGTCCATGGGAGGTTAGGACATACTATTATGTACATCGTGGGGAACAACGACCAGGTAAGTGCAAAGCACAGGCATAGTAAAACCATAGGAAAACTGGACATTTACCATGCATGAAACATGGTGAATTTCTGTTCGGGCAATTCAAAAACACCAAGTGTTTTAAAACGTGTAACAGTACCAGTGCTGTCGTGTGACCCGGTGATCGGGCCTTTTCCTGGAAAGAAGGTGTGTTTTTTCCTGTCCTCTGCAGGGGGCCAGGGATGGCTGTGGGGGGGGTGCAGTGACAACGTTGGCTTTGGGGAGGCTATCTCAAAGCAGTTTGTCGATGCCCTGGAAACGGGACAAGACGCCAGGGCTGCCATGAACCTGCACAACAATGAAGCCGGGCGCAAGGTAGATTCCAGTTTCTTGGCCGCAAAAGAGGTGGTTGTCCAACAGCATGGGGGGGGGGAGACCGCAGATAGGCAGGTCTTCTGGGTGTGTGCTACAGCAATTTCCCTTGCCCGGAGAAGCCCTTCAAACGTTCCAAGGAACTGAACTGTGCACATTCTGTTGCAATGTCATTAAGATTTCAAAATAAGAGATAAAAATTCACAAGGCCACCTACACATCATTGAAGAGAAAGTTCCTTTTATTGTTTTCTTCCCTCAACAAACACTATGTACCACCCAAGAATCCTATTCAGACTCTTATTAGTAAGGTGCCACTCTTACCCACAACACTGTGTGCGCTGTACCAGAAGGGCCTATTACTAGTATTGAATGTCTTTTATGACAAGATTTCAACTCAAGATTCTTGGGCCCAGTGGTGCAAGTCTTAATTAGGAGACCCAGGGAGCCATACATTAGAAAGCTTCTTTATTATCTGGGGTTTAAATAAGTGTTTATTTTCACTCTTGCAATAAGGATCTTACATTTTATATTGGTCTTTGTGACACTTAAGAAAGCCATGGTGATCACTGCCATGGTACTTAAGTGCTCTTTGTTTTTACTGCCAGTGCTCTCCCCTCCAGTCCTGTATGATTCCCATGGCACCTGGGGCATCATTGGAGGAGAAAATGTACCAAAGAAACCCTTTTTAACTTCCTCCTCAAAAGAGCTTCTATTTAGTCTTCTCATAGCAGAAACATATTGACAATGGCCATGCTAAATAAATTCTCCTTTTTTCACAAGCAGAACAATCTTTCTCAATGTGAAATTCAGATCCCCTCCACCCGACCCCCCCCCCAACTCTTCTCCTTAGAAAGCACTGTGACAAAAAGAGAACGTCTCCTTTTCAAGAGACCAGCTGTTTGTTTCGGCTGAAGTCAAGAAATATCCAGGAAGTGTAAAGAGTGAGACGGACCTCAGACTGAACCCTGACTCTGCTCTGCTTTCTTTTATTTCATTCACTTCTCTTTTTTTTTTAAAAAAAAAGCACAGAACAATTCCCCACCTGACTGAAGAATGTGCAAATTCAAGAACCAGTGTTGCCATCATGAAATAACAGGCTGAAAAGCTTTGCTTCCCAGGGACAGTTTCTTTCAAGTTCACAATTAAACACAAGCACCACATCTATTAATTCCCTATCCTGGATTTCCACTTCTAGATTCATGAAAAATGGGTGACAGAAAAAGCACCTCTGGGGCTCAGCTGTCGTTAAATAGCATGTTTTTCTATGGGCTACAGTGGGGTCTATGCTGTCCATGATTGTGGCTGAGGCTGTGTTAATCAGAGACGTCCCCCCCACCTCCATCCCATCCCGTTCCTCCTGCAGGCGGTGAAAGGGACGATGAAGAGGACCTGCAAATGTCATGGCGTCTCCGGGAGCTGTACCACCCAGACCTGCTGGCTGCAGCTGCCGGAGTTTAGAGAGGTGGGCAACTACCTGAAGGAGAAATACCACAAGGGCCTGAAAGTGGACCTCCTCAAGGGGGCGGGGAACAGCGCCGCCAGCCGGGGGGCCATCGCCGAGACCTTCAGCTCCATCTCCAAGAAGGAGCTGGTCCACCTGGAGGACTCGCCCGACTACTGCCTGGAGAACCGGACGCTGGGCCTGCCGGGCACGGAGGGCCGGGAGTGTCTCCGCAAGGGCAAGGGCCTGAGCAAGTGGGAGAAGCGCAGCTGCAAGCGGCTGTGCGGCCAGTGCGGGCTGGCCGTGGAGGAGCGGGAGGCCGAGACGGTGTCCAGCTGCAACTGCAAGTTCCACTGGTGCTGCGCGGTGCGGTGCGAGCAGTGCCGCAAGACCGTCACCAAGTACTTCTGCGTCAAGAGGGAGAGGAGGGGTCGCAACGAGAGCGCCGGCCGGAGGAAGGGCGCGAGGCCCGGGAAGAAGCACTAGGCCCCGGCCGCTGCGGCGCTCCTACGGCGACGCCCAGGGGGGGGGAACCACGGCGACGACCCGCGGGGGGCTGCAGGGGGGCAGCGCTGCCCGCTGTGCCCCCGGGCCTCTGGCTGAAGGCAGCAGCAGGGCGGCTGTGTGACGGCAGTGTGGGGCAGAGGTGGGGAAGGAGGCTCCCTACTCCCCCGTTTGTGTGGCGTCCGGGACTCAGGGAGGTCACGCAAACGACAGCGGTGTAGAAATAAAGGCCCCATGTGTACATTTTTGTTTTTGCGAATGTAATTGCTCTGCGAAACTGATGGAAGTCAACTAAGTTACAAAAGTGGGTAAAGCCGATATTAAATGCATTTTTTGCATGCGTTACACAGAACTGGCTTTGCTTTGCTTAGCGATCTACGGTCTGTCAGCTTCCTTTCTGTTAGTAGTGAGAAAAGTAGTGAGGAGTATCGGACTGTCTGATAATTATGCTAAGACGTCTAGGAAGCAGGTACTCTAACAAGGACCTGAATGCACTGTGTAGAGTAGTAACTAGCAGTAGACAAGCTCAATTCTGAAAGCCAGCAGGAGGCCAAGAAAGGAAACCTTAGAGTGAACACTAACATCTGTTGTTTTTTAACTGTTTGTGTTTCCCTTAAAGCGCACATACATATATATATGCATACAGAATTCCCATTATAACTGCCCATCTCAAGTAGTTATCAGAACGCAGCCTCTTTCTTATTCTGAACATCACCTTATCATTTAGCTTCATGTTACTTGATGTATCTTCCGCCACAAGTTAAATCTCTTTCACGTGTCTGCTGCTCAGCTATAAATTCAGATGTACAGTAACCTGAAAATAATGCATTTTCTTAACCGTCAGACATGTTATGCAAACATGGATATGCTGTAAAGAATCAAAAAGCTTCCTGGTTTTACACACTTCAACCTTTCAACAAAGAGGAGAGCAGGTCTGCAGATGCAAGCTAGTGTATCACTCTGACACCTACAGTAGAAAGGGGTTTAGGAGCAGTTTAACAAGATTTCACAATGACAAGTTGCAAACAGTGCACCCTCCTCTTTCCCATCAGAGTATTTAATTGTACATAAATTTAAGCACTTTGTACATTGTTAATTTATTGCAGTTATTCTGAAGTTTGTTTGTTTTATTTTTGTATTTTTTTTTGTAGTTGAACTTTTTCATTTGCTTGTAAGGGACACATATAATGGAATATCACCTCTTAAATGTCTGTTTCTTAGTAGCACGTTGTATTTCCAGATGCGTATACTTTACCTGTAACAATTAGAGGTCTATAAGACTAAAAGGTTGCCTGTTCTTCAATAAACAATTGTAAGGGATTGAATGTAATCTGGATGTGCATTTGTGTGGCGAGACAGACTGACAGGCACTACAGCCAGTTAGAGGGGAGGTGAAGATCCTGACTTGTGTTCCATATCGCAACACAGGTACCAACATGTTCCATCCTTAAAAAGTATAGTCCAGAATAACATTTTTTTGTTGTTGTTTTAGGTTGGAAACTCTACAGAATATTTACAATTGCCAATATTGTGGAACCCAGTTAGTACATAATATAATTAAAGGATCAAGAAGAGGATAATGCCACATAGAAAAGTATAGAGATAGTAAAAACCTGTGGAGGTGCCTCAATACTAAGGCCTTGTGCATTTCACTCACACAGATCCCTGCTCATCTGTGATGATACATTATAGTAGCACAAGAATGAAGACATAACACTCCTTCCATTCTCTAAAGTCCAAATCCTCTAGTTACAACAAAATTGTTTTGTGTTCTGTAGGAACATTCTGAGTTATGTGTCTTTTCACCTATAGTTTGCAGGAACTATATTTTCACCTATAGTTAGCAAGAACAGGGTGTATCTTTACTATCAACAATTATTTCTTCTAGTAGAACATTTACATTTCGACAAAATACTTAATTGGGAATGAGTCTAAAATTTGTCAGTTTATGCAAAATGCTTCAATAAAGGCATATAAAATAAAGAATAAGGACTCAAAACTTAACTCATAAAATCTGATGAATTACTGAAGAACTTACTTGGCAAACTTCAATGCACCAGAATTTGTACAATGAAAGTGCAAACATTTTTTTCCAAACTCTTACATTCTCACCAAAACTAATCTAAAACCTCATTTCAGTACTTATGGACAAATCAGTTCCTTAATAGTAACTGTGATCTCACAGGATAGCTGCAGTTTTATAATCAGGGTGAAAAGACTAACATTTTTATACCTATCCACCTTAAGTTACTACTGTTTAATATGAAAGTAAAACAACCATCTTATATCCTATCCAAGGATATTTTTATTTATAGAATTTCTTTTTTGCTTCATGTAAAGAATTTAAATTTCAGGTAGTGGTCACTTTGGTATCAGATAACCCCGGGGCAAAGCAACAAGAAGAAGAAAAAAAAAAGCTTTAATAATGATCTTCCTTCCTTAGTGCCTTTCTCAATTTCGCCTATACAAATTCCTTCTCTTTGTCCCGTTGTGGTAATCCTCAAAGAAGCCCTGACGCTTTGCTGATTGGAAGTTTCTTTACTGTTTAATACTGGTTTAATTAACTTTGTCGGGATAGAGAAGGGATCTGAAGGAAAACTTTAAACAAGTTACCCTTGAATCCTCCTGCCTCTTCATTTTGTATGCTAATCTCCTTTTTCACGCCACCGTCTAAAAAAAAAAAAATGTTGGGAAAACTTCTTCTTGCCTGCCTTGGGCTTCCTGTGGATTTCTTATTCCTGGCCCACCTAACTGGCTCTTGTCACTCCTCCAGGGCCTTCCTTTGCTCGATTTAACAATGAATGGCGAGCTAATCAGCCTCTCCGAAACCCACAGCCACCGAACAAGCTAATCCTCTCTCCTCTTCTTTCAATGGGCTGTCGCCTTCAAAAGGACTTTGGGAAAAGACTTTGCACGGATTCACACTGTTTTGTGAATAGAAGTTAGTTCAAGTATTGTACCCAAACAAGTGGGTTTTATAAACAAATACTTGCCAACAACCGCCCCACCTGCAAAAGCGCCAACCCCACAGCAACACACCGAGACAAAACCCGGGCCCTTCAAACGTGATGTGATCTGAAAAGGAGATTAAAGTTCCATTGACTGAGGGCAGTGCATTTCAGCAAAGGCCTAGTGAAGTGACAAGGAAGTACCTTATTGACATCTTACTTAAAAAAATACATTCAAAATCAAAACTTCCCTTCACAACAGCTCTTAACGACCGGGGCGAGGAATGTTTTTTTCCCTCCAAACTTGAAGTTGACCCTTGATGGCTCAGTGGGGGGGGGGGGTTGGTGCTTTTTCCAGGTGGGCTCAAAAGAACAAATGACATCAGAGCAAAAGTCTGGAACGTCAGCTAAAACTGCAGGTTCTGACCTGAAACGTTCAGTAGAACCTGACCTAAAAGAGCTCAAAACTGAAGAAGGAACCCGTGCTTAAGTACTAACGATCACTGTCGCATTTGTACCAGAACCCTTACGGCTGGGTCTCTTCTCAACACTAAAAAACTTCACGCCCGCTCATTTCAACACATTACGTACAAGGTGAACAATTAAATAAAAAAAATAACATTTTTATATTCATTTGCTCTAGCACCCCACTACAAAGACATTTGAATGCAACAATCTTCACGCATGCTTTCAAATACTGTTTCTTGTTAGAGGATTCATAGGCTCCTGAATTATAATTATTAGTTTTGAAAAGAGCTCTTTCCAAGAAGTGGTTCACCACCAGCTCTGCTAGTGACAGTGAAAAGAACCCCTAGTTGTACATCACACAGACTGGGAAAAAAAAATAATAATACGCCCTTATTTACGCCCTGTGAATGCTGACATTCATAATGTTGACATTACAGGGGACTTGTCCCTGTCTAGTAAATGCGAACCTTATAATCAATTCATTAACACTCACTTTGTAATTGACCATATTTTGCAGTAAACACATCCAAACCTGCCCTTTGGGGAAAAAAACCCCTAACGTAGATGACTGCAGTGAATATTTTCCTTTGTATATGAAAGCATTTTTTTTTTTTGTCATGAACAGCACTTAAGAGGCTCAAGTGAGAGATCAGTTCCTCAGAATGACAGCCTGGGTTCAGTTCAGAGATACAAAAAAAATCCCCGAACAACCTAGACTTAACCTCATACCACCTAAAAGCAGCAAGGCAAAAACGACTCGTTCACATAGCAGTCTGAGACAATGCTTTATTTGGAAAAAAAAAAGTTCCATTACATCACTGAATGACAATATTGGTGGAAATCTGGTTGTACAAATAACGGCGCAGAAGAGGGAGCATGGAGGCACTTGTTTGCCTTCAATAACTGTAACTGTACCCTCCAACAAGTGACTGCCCAGCTAACACTGACCTCACAGCTGGACTGCATCTGTTTTTTAACTCAGTGCCAGATTTCTGAAGAGCAGAAGAATCTGAAAAAAAGCAAAAGCTCTTCCACTGCATTTTAAAGGGGCAAGGAGTGAAATACTCCTCCTAGGAGGAAAGCAATACCGTTGTTACAAAACCAACAATTCTGTTACAGACAGAAGTTACCTCTTATTTTATCAAGCACTGACAAACTGCTTGGGATAACTGCTCTGGCTCCTGAAACAAAGATGCTCAACACCATTGTAATTTTCCTCGACTTCTACATGGAACCAGAGCCAACCACCTGACCAGGAGGAAGGGCTTGTGGTCACACCGTGGGCCATTCCGACAGCTCCTCGGTTTTTAGGTTAAATACGGGAACTTCACCAGCTGGACAAAAGCCTGATGTGAGGATTTTGTGCAACAGCTGCCTTTAACATTAATAAGTAAACTGTTGAATGCATTACAACATTCATTTGTAACACGTTGTAACGCACATTTCAGATGGGGAAAATAATTAAACCGTAAAATTAATTTCATAAATATTTACTGCAGTTGATGCACAAAAATTCCTAGGGCACATTTAAATAAATATGTTCTTAAATGGTGGTTGATATTTTCTTAAACAAGGCCCAAATCTCACTGAAAAATTATTTTCATTCTAACTTCAACTGGAATTTCAGCATTGTAAAGCATAGCCTTGGAAACAGGTGTGAAATCCACAATGCATCAATACTTTTAAATTTCCTCAAATAATCTATACGTAGGAATGCACAAACAACATCTCAAGGTGCCCACTGCTGTTTCAGTGCTGCAGAGTGTCTCAAGGAGAAAAGATGTGACTGTACAGAAAGTATATAAGAGACCCCACAATAATAAACAGCTAATCAGGTCTCAGTGAAGCAACTTACTTTCACGTTTGTATCAAAACTAATTGAAAACAAAGGGGTTCACCTAACAGTTCTGATAATTGAAAACTGCAGAATCAAAAACTGGCAACATCTCTAAAGTTACTCTCCGAGTACATTAAGCATATTATGAGAAACCCAGTTCTTAGACTGCGAATGCCTGTATACAGAATGTAATCTTTCAGGTTTTGCATTTCTGCTCTTTTTTAATATATGTGGAGAAGCTTAATTGCAAGTAAGGTCATTAACTGTCAAGACCCTCAGTTAAAAAAATAAGTAAGCTTTTGTGATCTCTAGAGTACCAGGCCACCTCCCACAACAGTAAGCAAAAAATTCACCTAAGAAAAGATGTCTACTATCTGGGTATACCACTGTGCACATTCATACACGATCGTTTTGTATTCCATTAATGTTATCTAGATTGTTTAGATTTGAGCAGCAAATCTCAATAAAGCTCCCGGCAGGAAATGGCACATTTGTTTTTTCTTTAAAAAGCTTTTAAAAGATTTTTTAATGCTATAAATCAATAACAATCAACTGGTCTTGTGCATGTAGGTATTCTTTGTATATTTTCAATAAGCAAATTCTGTATACCTTAATATCCCTCTCAGTTCGGAAATCTATTCTGCCACAAAATTGAACTCTTTGCCACAGCCCAGGCTCGGCTGGGGGGAAAGAAGACTAACATGGATCCTCTAGGATGAGCATCTCCATACCCTCCATCCTTCCATTCCCATGGATTGGAGGACCAAGGGCAGATGAAGTGGTGCTCAGTCTTGTCCGGATTCATCCTACACTGCCTGATCCTTTTCCTTCTTTTATCAAATTCATTAACCGACATCTGATTGCACTTCACTGATACGCACGAGTCAAAAACCCAAAGGGTAGCTGGCAAACGACATGGAAGGATAAAGGCGGGGAACAGAATGGGTGCCCTCCTTCCCCCCACAAAAAACACACAAACTGGTAAACGCCACACACGTTTTTTTGCGTGAGACAACACTGCGGAAAACAGGAGTGGATATAATGAAGAGTCGGCACGGCATTGTTCAAAGCACATTTGTACAGGTCAAAAATATAGATAATTTAAGTATCTCTAACACTGGACTACTGTGAAGACGTCAGTGGCTTGCACTGGCTCGACCTGCTTCTCCGCGGTCAGACGCCGAGCTTGTTCGCGATGGTCATCACCACCTTGAGGACCGGCATGAAGGCGGAGATCTCGCTGAAGTTGCTGCTGCTGACGATCTGGGTGTGGACCGCCAGGGCCTGCTGATAGTTGCGGCCCTCGATGCAGCGGCCCACCTCGTGCAGCCCCGCCAGGATGCTGGGGGAGAGCTGGAGGAGGAGAAGGCAAGCGAGAAGTGAGGATTTCCAGGGCGGCGCTTCTCCCGGGGGACTACCAGTGGCGCACCAGCTTGGCTCAGTATAGGACTCGGCAGCGATATTATTAACTACTTTGGTGGGGGGAGATAAAAAAAAAGACACCACTCACGGCGTGCTCTCTCAGCTTGTCATACAGGTACTCCAGGCGCTTTGAAGCATCGTCAAGTTTCCGTTTGGTTTGCTGCAACGCAAAGAAGGTTTCAAGTCAAAGTAACGTGATATCTCTGTTCATTATGCGAGTCTTGGGCCTTCAGTTCTGATCAGTTGCCTGTTCCGACATGAGCACCTCGGATTATTTCTGTTATTCCATCCCCAGCTGTTTCTTTGTACTCCCTGGTTACTTTCGTTTCCACTTAGTTCAATGGGGAAAAAATCCCCAAACTGATGGCACGGTCTACTTTTCTCAGAAGAAACCTGTTTTAATAGGGAGCCACTTCTGGCACGCTCACCAAAAAACAATGAGATTTAAACACAAATTGGGTTTGGAAAAAAACACATCTTATAACCTAAAATAGCCCACTAGCTTCTTTACATTTGCATTATCCACGTTTCTCGAAACCTTCCTGGATTTGGAACGTGTCTCAGTGTCAAGTAGGTAGCTACGACAGCTGCAAAGGAAAAAGTAAAGGTTTATTCCCTGCTGAAAAGACAAGAGACGCAAGGTTTCTTTTCATTTCAGTATGGAATGAACCTTCACCTGCTCCACTGCTCAGTGTCCGCCTGCTCTCAAGGTGGATGTGTGCTCATTCAAGTGGCCAGGGGGGCTGCAGGGGCTCCTGGTCACCCCGAAGCCGACTGAGCCGCAGGGTGAAGGACATACCGGGTCTCCTGCCGCCAGCAGGCAGCGCTGGACCAGGCTGTCGAAGGTGGTCTTCAGCACCAGGTGTTCTGGGGGGATCTCTCGTTTCTCAATCTTTTCCGCAGGCAGTTGATGGAGACTCTAGAGGGGGAGGCAACAGCAAAATGGAATCAGCCTTGGGTCTCCACTCCACACCTTACCGACAGGTGTGTCGTGTTAATTCAGCGGTTTGACATTTCAACTGATATCCACAAGTTTCATGTTGTAACCATTGAAGGTTGATTACAACCAATGCTTGTGGAGATTCTATCTGCTTTGGACTGTGGTACAGTCTTAAATGATCTATCGGGGGGTTTTCTGACATGAATATACATGCTTGCCCGAAAAGTCTGAATTCTTAAACAATCTGCTCAAAAGCATCATGGACACCATTTCTCTCCACCTTGCTTCCTGGGGAGGCTTTTGAAATTTTGTTCAATTGGCTTGTTCAGTTGGCACTCTGCTCATAACATCGCCAAAGTCAGTTGGCATACACACTGAAGAGTGAAGTTCGTGGATACAATAAAATATTCCCTTCTTATAGTTACCCTCCACATAACAGGAAAAAAAAAAAAAAAATTAAATGAACAAAATGAACCGTGCAAATCACAACAGCAAAAAAAGTTCGGGACAATCCACCCATTGTGTCCTCATAATGAGGAACTCCTGAATATGGAACTCCTGTTGATCCGCATTGTTCCCACAGGGGGAATTCTATGGCTGCACCTGGATGCTGGGCTCCTGCGGAGCTCCTGGAGGGGCCTGCACGCGCTCGTGAGGCGGAGAGACCTGGGGCTGCAGGGCGTGCTGCTCCACAGGGAATCCCATTACCGGAGCCGTGATCGGAGCAGGAGGAGTGTAGTTCTCTGGAAGCTACGAGACACAGGCAACGGAAAAAAATAAAGCAGGCCAAATTCCAGGGAGACTTCAGCCTGCTACTTGTTTTGAGCACCTCAACCGCCACACCGAAACACAGGGCCCCGGCACTGTTACTTTGACTTTCTTGATACAGCTTGAGAAGAAGCCACATCTGTACGGAAATTCATGATAAGTATTAGTTTACACAGCTGATTAAAGAATATCATCACAATGAAATGTTTTCTGCTTTGATTACGCATTCTTTGCAACAGCTTCATTCCCACTAGTCTAACACTGACTTCAAAATGTTATGTTCATTTTTTCAAGTTGCTCAATAAGACTCAGCTAGACACACAGTAAAGTAAAACTGGGCAGCACTGTGCATATCCAGTAGATGAACTTCTGCACACATACAGTACATCTACTTGTGCATACTGTTGAGTACATTTAGGAAGGACTATTGCACAAAATGGCATTTTAAATGAGTCTGCGTGGAAAATCGAAAATACAATTTCAAATACTTCCAAAACAATACTCTCCAAAGTACCATTATTTAAATTTTAATTAAAGCTGGTCTTGATGTAGTTGATCATAAATCCAATCACATGAATAGATGACAGAAAAGTATGGAACCCTTCAAAAAATAAGATTTAAAATATATTTTTAAAGTCTTGTTTTTAACGATCCACACTTTTCCTTTTAGTCTTTGACTTTTCAGAAGCTAATTTGGCAAACACAGACTTTGATTAGTTCTGGGCCTCAGCCCATCTGCACATGCTGCTGCAAAGCGTACTGCTGTGACACCATTAACCCATTCGGTCAAGACCAATTCCTTTAGGGATGAAGAGATGAAAGAAAACGACTTTAATGATGAACTAATCCGGCTCTAGTGAGCAGGATCTTTAGCTAATACCAAGCTTAACTCAAAATCTGAGGAGCTGTTTTCACGTTTTGATCTTTGGGTTTGTACAAGGATGATACGTGCAGTGTGCTACAAATGGCAACTACTCTCACAATTAACTACACCCTGGTATCGACACAATCCCAAGAGGTTTGAGGTTACTCTGGGACCTTTAACAGTGGGGAAAAAGTTGGATACAACAATTTTGAAGAGGAGGATTCACACATTTGATAAAAACAGTACTTTTACTATTAACTCCTTAACAAACTAAACCTTCTCTTTGCATTTGTGATGTTATGCAGTGTCACACTCAGCTGAAAGGGAATTTGTTAAACGGAGGGGGAGAAGACATACAAAAACAACGTAGGTGAGCTAAGACTTAAAAACACCAGTTCCTCAAACTATCTTGACCTCTGACCTCTAAGCTGCACTTCCTTCTTTGACTGTCTGGACAAACTAAGGGTCAGGAAATGAAGCCTGCCCTTGCCATGTGCAATTTGTACAAGAGAACAAGTCAGAGGCACCTAAGAATTAAGGCCTTGCCTACAAGGGCTTACAGAAGAGACCAGCGTCGCCAAGTTCAGAATGCCATCATGGGGCTTAATCATCTCCTCTCCTACACAGGGAATGTACCAAACTACTACTGTTTCCAGTCTGCTTGTAATTCTTTCCAATTATTGTCCAGAATATCTAGATATCTTACTTCTGTATCATTAGAAGGTACTTTAGAAATCTGAAAAATTGTACCTCTTAATGTTGCCTTATGTTACTACGACCGGCAAATCTGCATTGTTTCATTCTTAATTAAGTCATGTTAATCTGCTTAAAAGTGGATAACGGCAATAAATATCTGTGAGTAAGGATACCCCCATGAATATATTACCCAAGTGGACTGACTAGATTTAACCAAATAAATCCATCGCTTTGGTCTTATGACAAAGATGATTGTAAGTGTAAATGACAAGTGATGATACAAGTGCTAGAACATGTGAAAATTACAACTAATGCTTCCAAGAATCCCTGACTAATAGGATTTGGGGCTTAGGCCTCCTGTACACAACATCAAGAGGGGGCCAGGGTCAGTAGGGATGAGAAAGTCACCAGGACAGCAGAGCTGCTGGGTAAAATGAGATTTAAGTTCTAATGTATTGGCCATTACTTACTGTTTTAAGGAAATGAGGACGACAGCAAACAAATAGTTAAAAATACTTCATAAAGGCATGCAAGACGTGAAAAAAACATGAGAGCATTCCCCCAGCCAGTATTTTCCACCTTTGATACTTCATTTAGAAATTCTACATCTGAAAACACTAATAGGCTATTTCCTTGCTTTTACAGAGAACTTAAAGTGTGTGACCTCCATGTAACCCCATTAGGTATCATAAAAAAACAAAACGAAGAAAAATAGAGAGGCTTTGTATGCAGTTTTTCTAGGTTGGACCTGGATGTGCATTTTCAAATACTTTTGTCAAAGTGAGTTTAAAATGAAAACGACTCAACAAACAAATACAGAGTTTTTGAACAGCTCTGAGATCTTAACCACCTGTGTCTAATCTCATTATACTACAAAGGTGAAATGCTTCTGGGTCTCTTTATTAAACTGCACACAGATTATTAAAAAAAATGGGGAAAAAAATGAACCTAACAGATCTTAGTTGAAAGGTGTATTATATTATGTGGCTTCATAAAAGCAGACTGTTATTGCAAGAGCTAAGCAGTGTCCATTGAGACAGCAGGACTGATTTAAGAGTGCAGGGAATACCTTCTTTTTTCTGGGCCCTCCTCGCACTGTCGGGGGATCATTCCAGCCGTCCTGAGGGCCTGGAGAAGGAGTAAACATGGACAAGCACAGTCAGACAAGCACACAGACACGTTTCCTTGCCATCTGTCAGCATAGACACTTGTAAGTGCAAAAAGCAAGGGTAGCCCAAGGCAGGCCAAGACTGCACTTGAGTGTGAGCGCCGTGCACATCCGAGGCATGCATTCAAGTCTGCCAGCTTGACCCTCAAACCCTCACTGTTGCCCCCAGCTCCTCCTGGGACACACCAGGACACGTCTCCCTGTACTTCTCAGTTCTGTCTGGGTGTTTACTACCTTCATTCCCAGAAGTCGGTCACAACCACAAACTCAGCTAAATGGCACAAACGGAAACTCAACTATACAAGAGCACGAGCTGTTAACCATTTTGCTGCTCGTGTTCCAGATGTACACATGTACAGGGGTTATTTCTCTCTTGTCTGAGCAAAGATCAAAAACAAATTGTAGACAACTTATTACTGTGTAGTTACAACAGATCTGATAATTACATAAAGGCTTCAAAATGAAACCTTAAATTAAGGCAAGGATGCAAGCCGATCACCAATACTTTTGCTTAAAATTCTAAATTGCTATACAGTACTTGCAATTCTCTGTAGGGCTGTTGAGTCAATCACAGCTTCATCCAAATCTCAGGAGCAACAAACATGAGAAATTCAAGTGACTATACTTGTTTTTAGGTGAGATGCAAGGAAAAAAAAAACATCCTTTTACAAGCACAAAAAATCTTCAAATAAATTAGCTTAACACAGACTGAATATTCTTTCAATTATTATGCATTTAACATCAAAGAACACTTTGCTGCCACACGTACAACTATGTGACAAAGGACTATTTGAACTATTTGAAGGAGAATTTGCTGGCACCTCAAAATCACTATTTCACCACTATAATAAAGTTACAGCATATATAAAACCTTGAATGCATTATAGCCTTTTCTACATTGTTCCATCACTACACCTCAAGCCACAGCTCAATCTGCCTTGCAGTAATTTGTCCTTTTGAATCTTCCGTCTCAGAAAGCCAGCTGCTTGTGTCATGACTGCTCGAAACGGTGATTTCTTGTGAAATCACAGTTAGAAAGATCTCCACACGTCTAACAGAACTAGAATTTGCAACTAGCATGAATGCAGAGTTTATGAAAAGGATTTTAAGTAATTTAGGAGGATAGTAGCTAAAAAGTATAAATGATCAGTCTGGGGGAAAAAAGGCAGGTTGACGATTTAAAACAACCTGAGAATTCAAAAGCTTTAATTTACAAAGAAAATATGCCAAAGTCACCGAAAGATTTACTTCTGAAATTACAATTGTTCGGAATTTGAAATGAAGAAATGTCTGAATCCAGTTAACAAAACAAATCAAACCCTGCAAAGAATTAAGGTATATACATGTATAGTGTTAGTTAAAAAAAACAACACAAAGAAGTTTAATGTTCAACCAGAAATGTCTCCACATTGTCAGTGCAGCAGATTGTGTTATGGGTCACAGGATTGCTCTTTAAGTCAGAATTAACTCGTATGTCTTGAAAAACAGAACATTGTAACAAATCACTTTACATGCTACCCTTGCATTTATACTTTCACTCAGTTTTAAAGACTTGCTACTAAATATTACATACGTGTCTGCACAATTTCAGAGAAGACCTATTAGACAGGATAGGTCAACGTTTTGTATCAAGATGTAGTTTATGTCACAAATAGAAAATGGTCTAATGTAATATATTTATATTTGTTAATGGAAATGTATTATTTATATATAGTAAAAGTTGGTTATGACAGGCTTCAGTATAAACGGTTTAAAAATCACCTGATTCACCAAAAATGTGTAGACATTTCTTGTTAGCAAAACCAGTGCAAATGGTCAGTGGTATTCCAGAAATGTAGGTCATTACTACAACTTTTAAATAAAAGGAAAAGGTAAATTCTACAATCCAAACAATCTGAAGCTTTGAAGAGGAAAGCAGAGTTAATTTCCTGGAAGAGACCAATGACAATGCTGCACAAAACGCAACGCACTGCACAAAACCACAAAGTGGCGTGACACGGCCTACAGTACAGCCCTTTTCCCTTCACCTTCATCATCACAATGGAACTGCAGCCATGGGAAGTACCCTGGAAATCAGACAACAGGGAGGTCTGTACAACAGCACACCGATGAGCATGTCACAGAACAAAGCTCACGGCCCGATCGCCTAGATAATATGTGGAGTTAGAAAAGATCGCATGCTGTATATCACATTTCTTTCTAAAATGAAGATGTTCCCCATCATCATCCCCACCCTTTTTTCAGAGCCTGTTAATATTCACGCTGAATCAGCACCAGGCCGCTGCAGACCAGACCACCCAAGCCTGCAGCTGCTCAGCCTGGCCGCCTGGCTACAGGGCCAGGTCTGCCCCTGGAGAAGGCACTGTCAGCAGGAGAGGGGCTCAGAACCCCCCGGCCAAATTCTAAGATATTTGCAATGTTTCTTTACTTCACTGGCATGAAATGTCCCCCCCATAATGTATGTAGTACAACTGCTAAATACACTTGTGGAAAAGTATAATGCTTCTACACTGAAGAGCAATCACACAGCTAAGACCCTGTTTCAGCTGTGGACATGTATGTACATACAGCTGTCACATCTGTTTAATGGTTTCATGCCAGATTAGGTTACAGACCAGAGGAGGCCATTCAGCCCATCTCGCCTGTTCGGTGTAGTTAGCAGTTAATTGGATCTCATTCAGCCATTTCTTGAAAGAAGCCAGGGTATCGGCTTCAACAACATGGCACGATGACTTGTTCCACACTCCCACCACCCTTTGTGTAAGGGAGTGCCTCAGGTACTTGGTTTTAAAGGCACTTCCAGGTAGTTTCACCTTGCGCCCATTTAAAGGATGGCAGCCTGCGCCACTGGCAGCGGACTTCCTGCTCCGTACCTGTGGGTGGAGGAGGAAGAGGAGCAGCGGAAAAGGACTGGGAGGCTGGGGCTCCGGGGCCGCCCTGCGAGTATCCCTGGACGGCGGGGCCGTAGGGGCCAGAAGGCTGCAGCGGTGCCACGGAGGCCTGGGGGTGATGACCACCAGGGTACATGTGAGGAGGCCCCCCTGCCTGGGATGAGGGTGGCACAGAAGCCGAGGGGCGGCCTGCCGCGGACATGAGGCTGGGCGGCGGGCCGGCAGGGCTGGGTGGCGCTGGAAGGGCTCCGGGGGCAGAAGAAGGAGGCAGGGAGGGTCCGGCCAGGCTGGAGGCTGGCATGGTGGGCTTGGAGGGATAGCCGCCACCGAGAGGCACTGCTGGCTGGCCGAAAGGCTGATGAGGGGGGAAACCTGAAAGACAGAAAGGAGTGTCTGGTGGTCACCCAGTTGAAAGTTGACCATGTTAAACCTGCAGGGTATTTTTTTCAGACCTCACTGTGTTTATAAGAGATTTATCTTGTGAGGGCATGGTTTGACTGTCCCCCTCTAGTCAATATCATGTTTCTCACAACAGGTCACTGAGATTTTTCGATGGCAAACCTCTAAGCGATGAAGGCGTCTGTGCCAGCTTCGTGCTCTTTTTCTCCAAAAAGAGCCAATACCTTGTAAACTGCAGAGCCAGACTGGAATCAAACACTGGGAATGCTTGGACTGCTGCAGTCCTAGGCCAACTCGGAGCTCAACTACACCTTTGTCTCTAAAGACAAAAAAATCTCTGGACCATTTACTGCAATAGTCATTTTCAACATAATGGAAGGATCTCTGGTCTGAACCATGTGACTGTAGGATGGGCACAAATATAAAGAACAACAGCAGCTCCCTGTCACAGACTGAGAATAAGACGGTCTTTCAGAATCTGAAGAAAAGGCCCTGGTCTACCTGAGGCGGTGGCAGGGTGCTGAGGGTACGGTGCTCGTGGGCCAGCTCGGGGCAGGCTCGTCAGGGGCACGTGGGCAGAGTAGGAATGGGAGGGCATGGACTCGGCCGGCTGAGGAGGGAAAGCTGTGGGCACTGGAGGCTGCCCTGGAGGTACCATCGGAGTTGCAAAACCAGGCTGGTATATCCCCTGTAATGAGTAGCAACAGCCCGTCAGAACTCTTTCAATGTCTCTTTTCCACAGCCCTTACCAAAAATGCCTCTGGCCTTAAAGGCACACTACGAAGAAAAAGTGCCACTTAACACATTATGCAATGCAAACAAGCCAAGACACCATGAAGAAACCTCACCTGATGAAGGAGTTCTAACATTTATAAATCTGGCTTGTAAACTAGGTTTTACAGGACAAGGAAATCAAGCCTTCTTCAACATTTTGAAGTCTTCTGTGAGTCCGGCTAATGCACCACAAATGCAGAAAGTCCATCACGAGCAGATAAGTTTATCTGGCTGTGTCCTGGCTGCACTCATGCCTTACCGGTTGGTGCACTTTCTGGCCCAGAGGCTGTGCTGGAGCTGGGGCAGGAGCAGGGGCGAGCCCTCCCACGTGGACCCGGGTGTAAGGGAAGGGAGGAGGCTGCTGGCCCCCGACAGCCTCTCCCTGGGCGTGAAACAGCCGGTCCCACAGCTTCATGATCAAGGGCTGCAGCAGGAGGGGGCAGACTCGGGTTAACACCTCTCGCCTTTAACTACCTTGAGTCACACCGTTCCATGCTTTCTAAAGCTTCAAAACAGAACCGATAGGACTAGAAACAGTGGCCACTGATTGGTGGCCCTGATTGTACATTCTCATTCTATGGCTAGAAAAAGAGGCCCAGATTGCACATTCTTTGACGATTGTACATTCTCTCTTTCTCTAAATATTCTCTATACATTCCCTAATTAGACATCCTCTCATAATTCTACATTATCTCTTTCGCTACATGTTCTCTATGTACTCCCTGATTACTCATTCTGATGATTATACTGTACGTTCACTCTTTCGCTATAGATTCTCTATGCATTCCCTGATCACACATTCGCTGACAATTCTCTCTTGCGCTATAGGTTCTCTAAAAATTCCCCGATCACACATTCTCTCATGATTATACATTCTCTCTTCCACTATATATTCTCTCTACCCTCCCTGATTATACATTCTATCAGGGGAAGCAAGAAGATCCCTGAACGTTCTTGCACACGGCGATCATGAAGGCCCAGAGGAGGTCCTGAAATTTTGGAGCGCCTTACCCACCTGGTCAGAGCCCAGTGGCAGATAGCTCATTGCCGCGACCAGGCTGCCCTGTGCAGCCAGCAGGCTGGCATACTGGGTGAGCTTCTCCGCCAGGAGGGGACTCTGGACCTCCACCTCCCCACCGCGCAGCTTCTCAATGGACCTGCGCAGTATCATCACCTTCTCCACAAGGTCCTGCAACATGACAAAGACCTTTTTTACCTGCAGGGCTTTCCTTTTGTCACCTATGTCTGCATTTACTTCTGCCTAATAATAAAATAAACATAACGATTAAGAATCAATTAAAAAGGCCTGCATTGTTCTAGGCAAATTTATCCTTTAATTGTTAAACTATTTCACACGAGGACTAATTCGGCCTTAATAACCAGCATGAATTGAAGAATCTAAACCGACAGTGACAAGGGCTGATGAAAACAGTGAACCGTGAACGAATACTTCGCGATCACCCCTGGAAAACACACTCCAAACAAAAGCTAATGTGAGGTTATGGGTTTCCAAACACAGCTAAACTGATTTTTTAATAATAAAATCAATAAACACACAGATGTAGAGCTGCTCAGAGCAGCGTGCCCCTGCTGGACACCAGAACAACAGAACAAGTCAGCAGACACAGACCTCCAATGCCAGAGGAGAGGAGCAGTCGTTTCTATGCACCCAACACTCCACCAGCTTCTCGACGTTTCCAGAGCAGATGTAACACAAGCAGGCCTGTAAGAAATACCTTTCCTCGCCCTCACACTCCAGACGGGCCCCGAGAGTATCTGAGGGAGGGGAGAATTTCAGTCAGTTACGCCTGTGGCTGGATCTCTTCAGTTCACATTCAGGGCTTTGGTAACAAGGAGTTCTGCCAGACCCTTTGTTTCAGACAACAGCAAAACATTCTCGCTATGCACGCATCACCATCCTGCGTGGGGAGAATCTTATGTCTTACAATGAACACTCTGCTGTGGTCACGTGTAAATAATCTTCACAGTCGTAGGACCCCTCGAACTTGAAAAAGGAAATGTGTTAAAAGAGGGGACAACAGCCTCTTACACCGAATAGCGATGTTGTCAACTGGTCAGAACTATTTTTGAGTTGTAAAGCTACCTTTAGCGTTCAAGTGAACAACCCTCAAAGTCAATTATTCTGACGCCACAGGGCGGTCAGTATTGTGTTCGTTGTTGTGACTCTCTTACCACACAGTTCGGAGAAGTCCTCGGGCTGGGCGTAAGTCAGAAGGGCAGCTAATGCTTCTTTCCAGTTGTCCAGATCGCACAACTGCACAATGTTAGTCCAGTTCCGGGTGACTATGGAAGATATGAGCTGAGGAACCAAATAAATGGACATTTCCAGGTTTATTTTGTAAATGCAAAAAAAAACATCGACCATGAATTTACCATGAGGGCTAGTTTAAAAACAATCGCAATATGTATTATTTCAGCTTTCAAAACTTGGTTGTAAACAATTCCTGTAATACCATAAATCTTTGAAAGCTGCTAACCATGTTAAACTGCTAATCATTATTTTATTTTAATGGAACTGGTTAACTGCTAACCATGTTAAAAACACATGTCAGGTGTGTACAGTATGTACTGCACCTGTAATGGCAACCACGCCTTAAAGGATAATTAAAACAGCTATATGATACAGAGCATCATAAAAGGGGACTGTGGCTCCTGTCCACCTAGCTGTGTAAGTCAGCATCTGCAGTGCTGGGGGGTCATTCCTGTGGTGAACTAGTGTCCCACTCAGGGGCGAGTCACTTTCACTGTGGTAACCAGGATGAGCTCCGGCCCAATGAGCCCCTGTGCTCTGGTATAGACTTTGCCTTGGTCTAAATCCACACATTTTTAAAAACAAAAAAAACTCATATTCAATTCTCCACGTACCATTGAAATGCTGGTTCTCTGCTTGTCGAGGTATCTCTGCTGGGTCTTCCTCAGAAGCTCCTCTCCCCCACTGATCGCCAGGAGGATGGCCTCAGCGTAGCGGCTGTCACTGAGACACAGCTCCACCGCGCTCTCGAAGTTCCCCACCAGAAGAGCCTGACTGATCAGACCGTCAGTGTCTGAAAAATCATACACATTCACAAGCAGTTACTGCAGTGAAGGCATTCGGCATTCATGCTTGTTATGATGTTATTTTACTATATTAAATCTGCAAACTCTGCAAGATCTGCATCTGTGCTCCAGACAGCCTGGGTTTCATGGGCGGCGGTGTGATTTTTGTATCTTGTGTCTGATTTAGCTCCGTGAAGTGGGAAGAGGGACTTTGGCTCATTGCCCAAGGCTGACCACTGTCGAAAAAAATATGCAAACCGTCTCAAATATCTGATTTTGTACCATATATGGTAACAACCAATCACTAGAATGTATGTTTTTGTATGGAAGTTTTGCGCGTCTCCAAAAATAAAAGCCTGTTGCTGCTCTTGAGAAAGTGAGGGAAAGGCAAACTACTGGCTGCTCTGTCCTCCTTTCTTTACTGCAATCACAATGCAGAAATCTCCAGCTTGATCCACCAGAGTGGTTTTCTGAGAAGGGACCAACAATAGGAAAAAAGTAACAACTCCCAGCACTCATGTTACTCCACAATGTTTTAAATTGCCTGGTATTTCCTAGGGTTTTGAGCTTGTTGAGCTGTGGCGTACTGTCTATTTTGCAAAAATAAACTGCACTCCAGTAAGATTTCATGGAGGATAAGGAGCACCTTTGACATTGAGAAGTGTGTCTTCCTATATCTCTGTGGAATTGGTTACCGGCAGTGACGGGGATCTGGAATTTGGGCTTTTCCTTGGGTAGGTGGCTGAAGAAGTCCGATGGCGAAGAGGAGGACGGGGAGGAGGGGGTGTCTCCTGTAGCACTGGACTCGTCTGACCTCTGTGCTTGGACAATCGAAGGATGCAGCTCAAAATGTCAGCAAAATATTGTATACATATAAATGTAGCTTACGTACAGGGAATAAAGTACCCTGAATTACCATACTCTACATGGGAAATGTAGAGTGTGCGTTAAATGCACATTAAAATATCAAATGAGATTTTTATCCGAGATTATTGGAAAAGTCTTATGGAAGTACAAGTTAATTCTCAGTTTCAGGCACTACATGAATTTTAACGATGGATTTTTTGGCTGACCTGTGCAGACAGGTGCTGCATCTTCTCTGCCAAATCGTTGGCATCAATGCCGAGTCCGTTAGGCCGGAAGTTTCTTCCTAAACCTGAAGAAATCTGCAACAGGAAAAAGACCCCATCAGCATGAGCCTCCGGAGAATCAGACCTACCCGAGAAACCCTACAACAGCTAAAAATGTGAACTAACATGACACTATGGTCCTTAGGTTTGAATGCATAACACTGAAATTGTACAAATATCTGCCTTTACCTTTTTTTCAAGTTCTTCTTTACTGAAACCCAAAAGTCTTAAAAACTTGACACGAGCATCCTCTTCAAAGTTCACCTAGAAGGGCAGAAAGCAGGAATATAAATACAGCATCTCGCGCTCATCCATATTTTCAAACCACAGCCAACTTTAAAGCCTGAAAGCTCGATTTTGTGTAAAAGAGGAAGACGTCCTCATATAACAAAGGCCACTATTCACATCTGGCTCTCCGGAAGACGAGCTCTAGCCAGTGTCCACTTTGATTCTTGTCTTGTCACTGCTGACTGACAACCCTCCCTTCCTCCCCTCTGAAGCCCAGAAACAGTTCATACTCTTTCTACTGGTGGAACTTTCAAGCCCAAACAGGCCACAGGCGGTTACAGCCCACTTCATTACTGGAGTCGAAATCCTTGAACACAGTAAATTACAAGTCAGCAAAGACTGCACTGTGGCTACAAAGGCAAATCAAACTGGCGTTTACATATTCTTTAAATGGAATGACAGCAAGCTCTAGTGGTCATATGCAGTACTACTAGTGTTGTGTTTTTACTCACTGATGTTAGTGTAGCTCTGATCTCTGGAAAACAGAAACTCCTTTACATAAAAGCTGTATTTCCTTAGAAAGAGATTATCTTGTACATTGGTGAAATGTAAACACTATCTCTTTATCTCTTTCTGTGCTTTCCACTTGCTCAGGCTTTTAGAAATTCACAGTCATAAAAAGATTTAAAAAGGCCTAACCTACTGTAAAAAATGACACTGAACAATAAACTCCCCCATGAATCAATATTTTGATCAAGTCCTAACCATTGGTTTTTATCAACTTTTATTATGTGAAAAGTTGGGGCAATGCCAACAACGCATTACGCCGAAGGAAACGAACAAAGACATTGCACTGAAAATGAACGCCACTTATAAAAGCAGGGCTTAAGAGAATGTTCTAAAATCAAGACTGACGGGCTGAAGGAACTGGACCTTTTTAGTTCTGAACAGAGAACACTATGAGGGGACTCGATACGATGTGTTGCCCATATCAGCCCTGTGGATTTCTTCTGAGTGAACACTGAAACATTTGAAACAGTGAAACCATGAGTGGCATGAGTGGAAAACGCATTTCAAACAGAGAACAAGAAAAACTTCTTTATCCAAATGGGCTGCGGGTGTCTTGGATACTCTACACACCTACTGTATGTTGATGAAGGCAATAATGTGGCTACTTCCCAGAAATGGCTGGATGAGATACTTGGATCAGTCACGTTACCGATGGCTTCGGTAACTACCAAACAAGCAAAGTAGGCCGAAGGGCCACCTCTCGTTCGCCACTGTTCTTATGTTTTCTTCAGGGCTGCCAGCAGGGCCTGTACCTTGAGGAAGCTCCACATGTTCTGTTCGGAGTCCGTCGGAGAGCTGTGGATTTTGGCTTGGCAGTAGCTGGAGTAGCTGCCAGACTGCAGCGCGGCCTGCAGTTCGCTGGAGCGCTGCAGGAATTCTGTTTCCGTGGTGACCTGGCTGACAAAAACCTTCCTGGGGAGGGGGTGTGGCCCCTGAGGCTGAGGGGACTTAGGATTCTCGAAGGTGATTAACTTTCCTCCAAACTGCAAAGACACAAGAACACGTGTCTGTGAGAGTGGGCAGTGACGCTGCCTTCTAACTACATACAATACTGGAACTGTCCACGTACTCTCACACAGCGCTGACGACCCAGAGGGAATCAAAAATCAGGCCACCTCCCCCAGCCAGCAGCCATATCATCCTGCAGCTCACACTAAGCAGGTGAGCTTGGTTAGCACCTGGATGGGAGACCTCCTGGGAAAAACGAAGGCTGCTGCTGGAAGAGGTGTTCGTAGGGCCAGAAGGGGGCGCTCACCCCAAGGTCTGTGTGAGTCCTAATGTCCCAGTAAAGTGACAGGGACACTATACTGTAAAAAGGCGCTGTCCTCAGATGAGACGTTAAACTGAGGTCCTAACTCTGTGTGGTTATTAAAAATCCCAGGGTGTTTCTCAAACAGAGTAGGGGTGTTACCCCAGCGTCCTGGCCAAATTTCCCATTAGTCTTTACTAATCATGGCCTCCTGATAATCTATGAATCGGCTTCATCACTCTGCTCTCCTCCCCACTGATAGCTGATGTGTGGTGAGCGTTATGGCGCACTATGGCTGCCAGCTCATCATCCAGGTGGGGCTGCGCATTGGTGGTGGTGGAGGGGAGTCCCCATTACCTGTAAAGCGCTTTGAGTGGAGTGTCCAGAAAAGCGCTATATAAGTATAAGTGGTAAGCCGTTAGTTTAGATACGGAGTATTTATCTTCAAATTTGCTTTGCAAATAATGCTTCACACATAAAAAACCAAAGCATTTAAGAGCCCCTTATACAGATATGCCTAGTGAAGTTTATTTGAATGAAGGCAAACTAGGCCCATTTTACTTACATGAGAGGCTCTGAACATGGCATGTCTGGTGAAGGCTTTGGCTTACTCACAGCGAAGGAGGCGCCCACGTGCCTGCGGATCCACTTGGGGGGCTTCTTCAGGGGTGGGATCATTGTGGTCTGGGCCATCTTCTGAGGGACCTGTAGTGGGGGGAGGGCCTGTCCCGTTCCAAAAGAGTCCAGGGCACTGAAGGAAGAGGAGATCTGTGCACCACACGGTTCGCACACAGGGAGGAAATATCTTTTACTTGAGAGAGTTTGCCACAAAGCAAAAAATAAATCAATCAGAAAAGCCAGCAGTGGGAGTGGAGGGGAAGTTAGGGATCTGGACTTGGAGGTGAAAAAGATTGTGGGTTCAAATCACAGGTGAGGTACTGCTGTCAAACCCTTGAGCAACGTTCTTCAGTCAGATTGCTCCAGTCAAACACCCAGCTACAGGCATGGGTACAAAATACACCGCTTTGGATAAAAGCATCAGACAAATAAACTCATAATAAACACTGAGAAAATATGGGTATAGGCTGTTTATTATTTTTATTTTGATCAAACTGTAAGCTGGATCTACTTACTCCCTTGTTAATATGTTACCCATGAGAAGACTGCATGGAAATAAATATTAATCAACAGGGATACGCGTGTGGTTTCTACATAATGTCCTACAGCTCTTGTTTGACAGACGCTCTTGTTGACTTTCTGTTTGCAGCTTTGTTACTGCATGAATTGTATGTGCATTGGGAGGTCACTTTGGTTCTAAAAAGAAAGCTGGAAATCATAGCCTTAAGCAGGAAATTGTTGTCATTAAGCTGGAGAAGCTGTATTTTTTCATATATAAAATTAGCAAATGAAATTTTTAAGCAATATAATTTTCAACAGAGTCTAAGTGTTAAATTCAACGTCACCTGAAAGTTTCAAACTCTACTCTATCTATCAGTCAAGCCTACTGAGTCAAGTCTTGCTTGACTCATATGTCAAGCTGGGACTTTAGGAAACAAGACACTTTGTACATTCTCCTGTCAATTTAGCGCATTTTCACTTTGAGCATGATTATAAAAACTACAAAAATCACTCACAGAAAAGTAAATCTGTAACAACTGCCAGCAGAGGTCATGACAGAACAAGTTATCAGACTTAAAGCAGGAAAGTTTTTCAGATTTCCAGAATTTCTAACATTCTAAGAAGAAATCCAGTACAATTCAGTCAGTAGAGAAATACAATTCTAAACATTTAAAGTGCAGTAAAATCAAATGCCATAATATTTTCCAGATAAAATACATTTAGACAGCGCATTCACAGAATCTGCAATACTTGTTTGGGACTGAAACCAGTGCATGTCATCTTACAACCTTATCAGCACACATCTGCTGCTGAGCCTCCAGGCTGCCTCCCATGACTGAGTAAACACAGATCCGGCCATCAAAGGAAGCAGCAGAGAGAAGAGCAGGATTCCTGGGACACCACTGCACATCAAAGCACCACTGGCTACTGGTAGGCAGCTCATAGATCACCTGGGAAAGAAATCGCAGATAAACAGTTAGCAAAGCAGCTGGACTGCGTCAGCTGCTCCATGGATCTGTCTGTGTGAGCTGTGAGGACTGACTGCGTCTGACTTACCTCTCCTGTGGTTGGATTCCAGCACAGGATCCTGTTGTCTTTAGCACTGCTAAGAAGGAGCTCTGGATCTGCCTGACTCCAGGACACAGACAGAATTCCCCTGGAAGGAAGCCGCATTCAGACACTTTCACACCAGCAGCTACATACGGCCCTTCTAAATGAGAAGAACTGTGTGGCTATTTAAACAAAGCACTTGACCAATCCTTTACATATCTTGAAAAGGTGTTACTGACTACAAGTACAGTACGTGGCCATTGTTATCTTCAAATGGACTGCTACAAAACTAAACAACAAGCAATGACAGACAGCATCCAAGAAAATCCACACACCCACACGAGTCCTTTTGAGTGCTGCAACAGCTTCGGACTTGTGCAAATGACGAGATTTACCCTTCAGTTCAAAAGTATCGATCAGTCTACGGACCTCGTGTGGTTCTCCAGAACCTTCAGAGGGGACGTAGCGAACCGCAGATCCCACATCTGGATGACGGGCAAGCGGTCGTCTTCGGACGCCAGCACCAGCTGAGTGGCCACCTCAGGGTGCCACAGCATCCCGGAGCAATGCATCTGCAGTCCGAAATCAAAGACGTGGTTATGTCACAAGGAGAGGCAGAGCAGAATCAGAAATACAGTGGACGCAGTTAGTCAATCAAGTCACCCAGAAATACGATCTCCGAGACAAACTTGGACAAATTTCCTAGCTGTTTCTTTATTACAATGTGACAATGCATGTGATCGGTTCTCAAGTCCAGACTGTGTGTTAACATGAAAAGCAGAGGTGGTGAGACCAATCAAAAATATCCCTGGACATTGCTGCCTTATTGGGAAATGCCTTCATTCATGCACACTCACCCTGTTGCTGTGGTCACTGATTTTAATGATTGGCTCGTTTTTTCTCAGGTCCCAAACAACAGCCTTACCACTGGGGTGCGCTGAAGCCAGGATGTGCTGGACCTGCCTATTCCAGGCAACGACACTAATGTCTTCATGTGGCTGCAAATCAAACAACATGGAGGTGAGACAGGGGAAACTGTAAAGCTGAGGGTTTCCAACTCTGAAGCTGCAGTGCCCCAGTCTAGCTGGTTTTATAGGCAGCCATTACAGTAACAACTGATAAGGGATTGGAAACATTTGGAATTGATTAAGGAGGCCATCTGCTAAATTAGGCGCTTTGGAGATCATTTTGAACCAAAATCACAGAACCCTCAGGATCCGAGTTCTCCTATTTGAATCAAGTACATGCTGAATTGATTCATAATGTACAACTGTGCCCAAGCTTCAGGAACAGGTGACCTACAGGACTAATTGAATTAGGGCTCCCATGATCCAGGGAGTGAGACCCCTGCCTTACAACATCTCAGTCACCAAAGTGACGCCAAGCAACACTATGGGCAATAGGAAATAATCCACTTTTATGTTATGTACTTTTAGACTCCGTATTTCTAAACTTCCTTATAGACTAATTTGAAAAACAATCTCAAACAGACTTAGAACAAGCACTTCACATGTTACATTGGCAAAAAAAGACATATCATTAAAGTGCCCTTATCACAACATGCAAGGTTACTTTGCATAGATAAACAATTTACCTCAAAGGGCTCATGTATCACATTGATTTTACATATCTTTACTTTCTTCTCTGGATTCCCAATCAGTTCATATGATCTGACAGTTCACCTAACATTTGCATTCTGAGGGTCAATGTTAAAAAATAAAATGTAAATATGCTCCTGTCATTTCTGCTTCCTCAAAGAATCAAACCACATCACGGCAGATAACCGTGATACCGCTGTCCTTCCAGTTAAACATTAAACATGAAAGAAAGCAAGCAAGAAACTCCACCATCTGGTTTTGTGTACATACTGGTCACTCCATTGTTGTCGCTTGTTTTCCTTATTGGGCATTGATCAAAAAGATTTTTGAGAAAGCCTGTGCAATAAGATTCGTAAGCATTAAAAGAGCTACAGATTTTTAAATTGTTCAAAAATTATCCTCCAGAATACAGCTTTTGAAAATATTCATATCAAACTATTTAGGAAATAAGAAAAAAATCTAATAATACATGATTTCCATTATGAACCCTTTAAGAATTTCTTAACTACAGCATGTCCAGTTAGAATAGCCAGACTAGCAAAAGCAAACTTCATTACATACCAAATTAAAAAAACAGCAACAAAGTTTTATAAGTAGAACCAACCAACATAAAATCGACAGTCCAAAATACAAAGCACGGGATGGTACTTGTGAATAGATTCACAACCATCTGCAAGCAGCAATTCATATAGTAACTATAATCCTGCTGGTGGTGTTTACAGTATCTGCTACAGTATGTTGTGTGAAAGAGGCTCCTGGTCCTGGAGGAACATTGTATCTGCTCGTTTTCATTCCAGCTGAGCTCTATATCTCCAGTGTTAATTAATGACTCACTTGATCACCTTGCTTGTCTAGAATTTTATTTTAACTTGTTTCTTCTTTCAGTCCAAAAGGTGTCAACAATAAGCCATTCCAAGGGTGCTGTTTCTAACATCTTCAACGCACATAACTTTGTGTAGTGTGTCTGGCCCTTTGTTTTACATCTCACTGAAGGACAGTGCCTTTTAACAGTATAGTGTCCCCAACGCTATACTGGGGCATTAGGACCTACACAGACTATGGGGTGAGCGCCCCCTACTGGCTCCACTAACACCTCTTCCAGCTGCAGCCTTAGCTTTCCCAGGAGGTCTCCTATCCAGGTACTGGCCAAACTCACATCTGCTGAGCTTCAGTGGGTTGATGTGACAGGATGATAGGCCTACTGGCTATAATGAAAACATGCCCCAAATGGGAAACTGCAGCCAATGAGCCTTTGATTAAGAACTCAGTTGGAGCAAAAACCAGAATACACAGTGTTTCTTCAGGACCAGGGCTGGGAACCACTCTCGTACATACAAAAAACTGCAGAACTACTTTACAACAGACAGTAAAAGTCTTGTGGCTGCACCACATCTCATTTATTCAGTGAAAGAAGAGTGGAAGAGCCACAAAAAAAAAGTGTCACAATCCCCCCCGAGACCACACAGCTGTGATGCACCGTGCAGGAAACACACATGGACAGAGACCCTTCCAGTTCACAGAGCAGTGCTGCTATTCTTACCTCACACAGCTATAAAGTAAAGAAACACAAAGACCATTTTAAAACAAAAGGTTTGAATGCCACAGATAGCCCTAACAATAACTGCTGGGCATCAGCAACATATAGAAGAACAAATTATGGCTGCCACTCCTAAATTTGGCTCCTAAGCAATTTACATTTCAGAGTGTGTCTTAATATCTGTATTCCCACATGGATTGAACAATATCACTTTACACAGGTCAACAAATGTACTCATCTGAATTAACCACATGGTTCTTGAAAAGCCCTCAGTTTAAAATTGCAAAGGTGTTCTTTTTTCACCTTACTCATGAAATACACCTGTGCATCAGTTTTCTTATTACATTTTTGTTCTGAAAGTGTTTTTAAGATAATGACAAAGTCTGTCAAATACTTTATAAGATTATATAAGCT